AAAGAACGCGGCTTTTCTTTCGATGGCGGTAAACCTCATTTCACGAGGAAGAACGCCTTCTTTCGAAAGTTCCTCTTTCGAAAGAAGGCGTTCTTCAATGTAAATAGGGCTTCTCCAAAAGAGAGCATCCAGACTCACTGGATGCTTTCTTTCGAAAAAGCAAGCCGCTTTTTCAAAATTTCTCCGTGCAGTCTAGATGCTCTCTTTCGACAGAGGCTCTTTCGAAAGATGCTTTCGAAAGAGCCTCTTTCGAAAGAAGCCTGCAGTCTAGACATAGCCTTAGATACCTGAAAACTGCTATCATGTCCCCTCTCAGTCTTCTCCTTTCCAAACTAAACAAGCCCAATTCTTTCAGTCTTCCTTCATAGGTCATGTTCTCTAGACCTTTAATCATTCTTGTTGCTCTTCCCTGGACCTTCTCCAATTTCTCCACATCTTTCTTGAAATATGGTGCCCAGAACTGGACACAATACTCCAAGTGAGGCCTGATCAGCACAAAGTAGAATGGACATGAGAAACCGTTCTTCTTTCTCACAACACTCCTGTGAATGCAACACTCCTCTTGTCTGTGTGGACCTTGCATCTGACAATGAGCTTGGTAGCTTGTTGAAAGGCTAGAAGCAGGGACATCCGTAGGGAGGTATGGGCCCCAGGACAACCCCACCTCCCTGCTCCTGGCCCTACCTCTGCTCTGCCCCTACTCCATCCTTTCCCCTGCTCCATCCCCACCCTATCTCTTTCTATCCCTGTTCTGTACCCTCACTGCGCCCATTCCACCCTTTCCTCCTAGCCCCTTCTCCAGAGTGATGCCTCCTAGGGAAATTAGCGGAGGGGGTCTGGAACTGACAACAGGGGTCTGGCCTATCCCTGCACTCACTGTTGGCCGTGGAAAGCAGAATGACCCAGCCCCAGCCCACCCTGCTCTGTTAGCTCGCAGCCATGTTGCTCTGTTTTCTGCTGCCAGTGAGTACAGGGAGGGTGGTTCCACCTCTTCTCCCCCTCCTCCCCCCAAGCATCTTGACCCAAACATCGCAGCTAGGAGCCAGGGGAGTGGAGTGGGCTGGATCTTGGTCTCTCTGCTCCCCCCTACCAGTGAGTGCAGGAGTGGGCCCTACCTCTGCTGGCACCAGAAATTGTGCTTGCTAGAAATTGGGGCTCGCCTTGTTCTTGCAGGGGCCTCCAAAGCATAGTGGAGTGCACTGAACTATATTTCCTAAAGAGGAAATATAGCTTCAGGAATGACTTACTTAAGGACATGGTCCCCATCAAATATGAGCTTTAATTGTGTTACGATACCCAGTATGGCTTCCAGTGTGAGGTGTAGCACATGGCTGTCCAGCTTAAAAGTAACTTAGTTTGGGTGAATTTCCAAGCATTGTACAGTAGTATCTTGTAGATATTTGAGGCAGGTAGTGATGCTGTCCTTCGGAGGGATTTTGGTATGTGGAGAGGGTGACATTTAAGGTGGCAAAGGTAGTGTTCTGGGGAGGCTGTTTATGTTGCAGAGTTTCTGGAAGAAGACAATAGTATCTTGGTGGAAGCTGCCCCTTTGTGTCGTGAGTGGTTTGAAGATGGTTTCTGTGTCCTGATATTCCTTTACTACAGGGATGGGCAAACTTTTTAGCTTGAGGGCCGCATCTCAGTATAAAAATTGTATTGTGGGATAGGGTGCAGCAGGGGGTGAGAGCTCTGACTGGGGGTGCAGGCTCGGGGATCGGGTCAGAAATGAGAAATCCAGGGTGCAAGAGGGTGCTGGGGGCGAGAACAGAGGAGTTTGGAGGACTAGAGAGGGTTCTCACCTGGGACTAGGGATGGTAACGTGTAGACAAGTACAGGATTAACTGATAAGCCTTGTCAGCTATGCGCTCTTCCCCTCCACATCCCCTGTGTCTGTACTAGAGGCAGTAAGATGTGGGGGGGGAAAGAGGGGAAGGGGAGGAAGTGGGAAGTCACTGCCCGTGACGCTTAAAAACTGTCTTCCCCCGAGCACCAAATCCATGTGCCTCCCACCCCCATGCACAGAGAGGCAGCAGTTAGGGGGGGGAGCCAATACACACAGGGAGCCAGTTCCATGGACCCATCTGTCCCCCCACACCAACTCCCGTTGCCTCCCTCCTACAGCCTGGGCTCTCTGCGGACAGAGTCTGCTGCTGTGGAGCAGCCTCTGTCTGTGGGGAGCTTGGACTCCTTTCCCCACCAGGGGCTATGCTGGGGGGAGCCTATGCTGCACTGTGCTTTTGCCTCTGTATCAGAGGCAGTAGCACAGGGTGGCAGGAAGCTGGGCTGCGTGAGGAGTTGGTTTTTAAACAGGCACCCTTCACGGACCAGCTGCCGCCTGCCACCCTGCGCTGCTGCTTCTGAATAAGAGGCAGTAGTGCAGGGTGACAGGGTGCTCCCCGGGAGTGGGGCCAGAGCCCACTGACTGCCGGCTCTGCCTCCGCCCTCAGGGACTATCAAGTAGTCATATAATTGCTAAAATTGTATGCAGTTACATGACTATTCAGTTACACGCTGTCTAACTTCCATAGCTGGGACAGGGAATTGGAGTGAGCAGTAAGGATGTTAGGGTGGTTATGTGGCTAATTGTGTAGTCGATACAATTTGTATTGACTATACGATTAGTTGATAAGGGCTGGGTCTGGATCGCTGCGGCTCTGCATATTAAGTATAGTAAGAGCCGCCAGGTGCAGCGGGCGAGGACAGAGGAGTTTGGAGGATTGGAGGAGGCTCTGTGCTGGGACTAGGGATGTCAACATGTAGACGACTACAGGATTAATCAATAAGTCTTGTCAACTACATGCACTTCCCTCCCCTCCCCTCTTCTCCCTCCCACCGTGTCTGTATTAGAGGCAGCAAGGTCAGAGGGACTCTGCATTTTAAATGTAGTAAGAGCCTGGTGCGAGATGGGAGTGATGAGTTGAAGCAGCCCCAGCCCACACCCAGACCAGGCCACTGTGAACAGGAGCTGCTTGCCAGAGCAGACTCCCCTCTCCCTCCCCCCCAAACCTCTGATAGAGGCAGTGGGGGAAGAGAGGAGCAGGCAGGGAACTGGCTTTTAAGCTTCTCCCCCAGCACCAGCTCCTGTTTCCCCCTCCCCCCATTCCTTACTGCCTCTCATACTGAGGCAGCAAGGGGCGGGGCGGAAGTGAATAGTCAAGTACTCCGCTTGACTACCCGGTAAGCTTATGCTTATCGAGTAGTTGAATAGTCAACTACTTGCTTACATCCCTAGTGCACAGGTGAGTGAGGGCTCGGACTGGTAGTGCAGGCTCTAGCGTTAAGCTAGGGATGAGAGGTCTGGGGTGCAGAATGGTGCTCCAAGCTGGAATAGAAGGGTTTGGAGGTAGGAAGGGGGGAACCAAGGCTCCTGCTGAGGTGTGGTCTGGGGATGAGGCATTGGGGATGCAGTAGGATGCTCCAGGCTGGGATGGAGGAGTTGGGGGTGGGAAGGCGATAAAGCCTGGGGTAGGGGGGGGGGGTAAGGGGTGCAGGCTCTGGTTGCTGCTTACACAAAGCAGCTCTTGGAAGCAAAGGCCTGTCCCACTTCTGGCTCCCATGCAGAGATGGGACCACACTGCTCTGTTTTTCTGCCCTGTCCGCAGGCACTGTCCCTACAGTTTCATTAGCAGCATGTGGAGCCCTCCGGCTATCTGAGGTTTGGAGAGCCTCATGGAGCTGGGCAAGGTAAATCCTTGACTCTACTCCCCTAGTTGGAACACCAGAGAGGGCAAGCTCCAGACCCTGCTGCCTAGTAAGAGCTCAAGGACCTGGTTAAAAGATGTTTGCCCACCCCTGCTTCAATAAGATGTTTGCCCACCCCTGTCTCCATATGATTGGTCTGCCAGTGGGTCCCTTGTTTGTGTATTTTGGTACACACATGGGGGAAGGGTGGGGGAGGGTCCGCTTCAAACCTCTTTTGCATAACACTCTAACCCTTATTACCCACTTCTTTTCAAGTGCCTTCTACCACCTGCTAGCTTAAATGCTTAACTATTTGTCCCAAACACTGAATTCTCTCCTCAGACCTAAAGAACTCTCTGTGATTTGAAAGCTTGTACCTTTACTAACAGAAGTTGGTCTAATAAAAGATATTACCTCATCTACCTTGTCCCTCTCATATCCTAGGACCAACACATGTACAACAACACTGCAAACAATAAATGAAGAGTATTTTAAAGAGATTTTTTTTAAACTAAATAAGCTTTCAACAGCTTCTTCTATCCCCTATGATTTTACCAGCATATTTTTACTTTCCTGTTAACATGTGTGCTGTGCTGCACCTAGATGGATGAAAAGACGCATATGCTTGTATGTCTGGGGACAACTGCTCCAAAATCATATTTTGTAGAAAGCAAATAATTAACTTTAAAAAATTTTTTAGGTATATAAAGTCAGTACAGTAGAACCTCAAGAGTTATAAAAACCTCAGGAACTGAAGTTTTAACTCTTGAAATGTTTTGCAATTCTGAACAAAACATTGATTGTTCTTTCAAAAGTTTACAGCTGAACATTGACTTAATAGAGCTTTGAAACTATACTATGCAGAAGAAAAACACAGCGTTTATCTATCTTAATTTAACAAGCACAGAAACAGATTCCTTACCTTGAAAAAAATCTTTTAAAAACTTTTCCTTTATTTTTAGTAATTTAACTCCGTATTATATCATACAGTATTTTTGGGTTTTTTTTTTGTCTTGTCTGTGTCTATCTGATTATGTATTTCAGGTTCCAAATGATTAACCAGTTAGTTTATCACTCTGGTGTCCATAACTCTGAGGTTCTACTGTATTTTGTATTTTGAAGCTATTACAAATTTACAACGGTCATTTCCAATATTTGATAAGGGTTCTATCAGTTGTTTGCCTTTGTATCTAACAGATATTACCTGAAAGAAATCTTATTAATAAAACATTACATATTCAGTTTTACTTCATATGTGCTATATTTTAATAACTGCTGATACAACTTTGCTAATATATGTACGTGTTCATTTATTTCAGATTGTACATACACACAAGCCACATTTTATGGCTTTACACTGTCAAGAATTTGGTGGAAAAAACTATGAAGCTTCCATGTCGCATGTGGACAAGTTTGTTAAGTAAGTAACTGGAAAGATGCATTTCCATCCTAGTATATGATTTATGCTTGGAAATATGACCAATATTTATGGACAACATCTTATCCTGTAAGATACTGAGTGCTGTTTACTCTCATTGACAGAATTGGACCAAGAATTGGATGGTATACTAATAAGTTGTAATACACTATGAATCTGTAGGGAAGTCTGGCTCAAATGTATGGCTTCATTTTAAGTTCAGAGTCTCCCCTCATTATTGATTGTTTAGGATTAGCACATCTTTTTTCAAAAGCACAATGATATTGGTTTTTCAAGTATGTGTCGATGACCTTTCTGTATCTGAGATTAAAATCTGGACCTTGGATCATTTGTTTTCATGCAGCAATTCCAAGTTTGCTAAGATACTTTCAGTTTTCAGATAACAAAAATAGTATTTAATTCTGTAGACCGTGCGATTGGTTTTGTTGTAGTTTTTCTTAATTAAGGTATGGATTTTCATTTACTGGTGATTGCTTCTAGAAGAGTAGTTGAAATAAGTAGTTGCAGTTTGTTGAAGGCCAGTTACCTTAGCTAACATGATGCGATTGTCTGTATTTGAAAGTTAGATCAATCTACCTAAATTGGACCGTGAGAAAAATCCACACTCCTCACCTGATGTAGCTACGCTGACCAAATCCCCATCACAGAGGCAGCTATGTCAATGGAATAATATTTATGCTGATGTGGGTACCACTATTCGGGTAGATGCTGCTGCTACATCAATGGGAAAAACTTCTTCCATCAGTGTGGGTTGCATGCATACTATGGTTTTTTTCCAGCATAGATATGGCAATGCAGTATAAACATACCTTTAGATAAATAGATCGTGTTATCTCAGTAGTAACAGAATTATCTACATTTACTATTAGTGGAATACTTAAGGACTATTGCAGATGGTAAGATAAGTGTAACTGGCTGGTCTGCCCTTTTCAAGACCAGAGGCTTGGGACCAGCCAGCCCTGTTTATTAATCAGATGGTGCTGAGGGGGGAGGAGAGAGAACAGCTGTTCCCTATATAGAACTGGACTGTCATCAAGATGGTGGAAGCAGGAGCAGTAGGAAAATCCCTGGGAGAGGCTGCCAGAGTCTATTGAGGAGAGGAGGATGTGGGATTGGTGGAAACCTGCTGGAGTAAAGAGGCCTCAAGGAAGAAAGCCCTGGGAGGTGGTGCTTGTCCATGAGGGGCCACATTTGTTTAATTATTTTTAGTACAGACATGGTGAGACCATTGTTGAAGGTGATCCTGGAAAAGGAGCCTTGGTAGTGAAAGAAGGCCCCCTGTTTATGACTTCTGACAATGTTTGGACTCGGACAATGCTTTCATTGGACTTGGATGCCTTGTTTGTGTGTTAATACGTGAACCTGACAATGGGTGTTACTGACATAAGGAGTTTGAGGTCCTTATCAAAAATCCAAGGAAAAATAGTGCAGTGCTGAGTTGTCACCAGGGAGTACTAAAGGACAGGGAGTCATGTGACAGTAAGGTTATTTAGTTATCTTCAGCCATTGGCAAGCAAGCACTAATAATTAAACAATTCTGTTGTTTGAGAAATGTTTTCAAAATGCTAACTGCTTAATGTATTTCCTTAAGCTGCTATTTCATAGTTGGTAAAAAAACAAATCCAAACTGCTTGTGATAAAATGCTGGTAGGATGGAATCCTGATGTGAAGGAAATAGAAAATGAGATGGAAGAAGTGTAAAGGAAGAAAAAATAAAGCATAAATAATTATTAAAAACAGTGAAAATATTGGAAGCTGAAATGTTAAGATACTCAATTTACTGAGCAATTAAGAACACGAGATTTCACTTTGTTCTTTCATACTGTATTCAACAATCTAATATGTTCAGTAGAAACATATCTCATAACAAGCATTAATTCCATAATCACATTTAGACTGAGGTAGTATCTCAAGCCCATAAGCCATGCTAACCTCTTAACCTTCAGTAGTAGTTGTTGAATTTCCTTTAGAAGTTTTCCTATAAATTAGATAATATACTATGAAAAGACATTATGAATATATTGGTATTTTAAAAAAGCAGGCCTACAAATCAAGTAACTTAGTCAGCACTCCCTATTCAAAAATAAAGGATTTTAGAGCAGGAATTTTTCTGGGCTAAATGATTGCAGAAACCTAGCAGTATTGATGTCAGCTCCATTTGAAGGGATTAAAGGCAGCATACAATAGTAATAAGGTTAACTTTGGTTATTTTTATTCTATTTGACATTCAATTTTGTATGTAATGATATAGTGTCAGATGAGACAAACCGACAAAAGAATTCTGAGTCAAAGAGGAACAATACAGTATTACTGTCCTTTGGCTGAGCTTTTATGTCTCTAAATGTATAGCATTCAAATACTTAAAATCTTGAATAGTTGAGTAATTTAACTGAGTACCTTTGTTTGCAATTTTTTGATTTTTCTGTTTTGTTAGCTAATACAGTCTTGCATGGTGACTTTTCAACATGATGAAACCCAGTTACTTTTAAAAAATGGAAGAGGTGCAGCATCTAATTTAATGTTAAGCATTTTTCATTTAAATAAAAACAATGTCACTGTTAATGAAATGTAGACATAATGAGTTATTTTCAGAAAGAAAATTATGTCCTGACACCTCCTTGTTCAAATATTTTATTTGCTAATAAACCTTAATTGACATTGCTGATATAAATATTCAGGTTATATCAACATAAGATTTTTTAAGTTAATCCTCCACAGCCTTCAGAACTTGGAAATAATTTGAGGGAAAGTAGTCAAACAGTGCCCTCTACTGATTTTGTTCATTAGTTGATTTAGTGGACCTTTAAGTTCATTTTAAATAAAAAGGCCATTGTAAGTTGTTCCTTTCTTAATAAAAGTGAATTTATTTGCCGCATTATTAATAATTTTTTTCTTCTTTTTCATAGAGGTGCCAATTATATGTTTCAAGGGCTTTGAAATAATAAGTATAATTAGGGTTGCCAGATTTTTTAACAAAAATTACCAAACGCTTGCCCTCCCCTCCCCCAGTAAAAAAATAACAACAAAAACTACCGGAAAAAAATTCTGTCGGCGGGGGGGGGGGCAAAGTTGTTTAGTAAAAGAAAGTTGTTAAGCAAAAGTTGCACCACTCCCTCCAGTTTGGGGCCACACAAACACCCTTCCTCCCCCTGATCCAGGCTGTCCTGGAGTCCCCCCATCCCAATGCACTCATCCCTGCCTCAGACCCAGGCTCCCCCTAGCATCCTCCCATCCCAATGCACTCACCTGTGCCTCAGAGCCAGGCCCCACTAGCATCCCCTCATCACAATGTACTCATTCCTGCCTCACACCCAGCCCCCCACCTAGCGTCCCCTCCCATCCCAGTGCACTCCCCCTTCCCCTTGAGGCAGGCATCCCCAGAGTCAGAAACCTCCGCCCCAATCAAATCTCCCCCCTCACCCCTGCAGAGCCAGGCATGGAGGAACAATCTGACTTTTAAAGTGGCTGCTTCTGCTGCCCGGCCTGGTGGTCTTGGCTTGCAGTATGTAGAAGGAGGCATCACGTGGCCAGCTCCCGGTCTCTGCTGGTCATGTGGGTCAGAGCAGTGTGCATTCCGCTCCCAGCTCAGCCCAGCGCCCCCCTAGAGTGGCACCCGACACGTGCCTCCTGCTGCCCCCCCCCCCCTTCCCCTTCTCCTGGCAGGGGAAAATTGTTCCCTCCAGGCGTCTGTCCCAGGGGAACGGGAAATACCGGACATATACAATGTCCGGTATTTCCTGATTTTTTTTTTATGGGACAAAGCCCGCAAATACTAGACTGTCCGGGTGAAAACCGGACAGATGGCAACCCTAAGTATAATGGGGTATGAGCAAACTTTGTTGTAAATCGTCAAAATGCAAAATTGTTACTATTAATTTCCAGGGGTGAACATTTCCCTCACCCCATTCTCTCAAAAAAATACTTCAGTCTTAGGCCAGAGTAAATCCTATGCACTGTTATAGACTGGGTTAAATAATATAAACCAGGACCGGGCCAAATACAGCCCATGGGCTGGATCTGACTCACCAAGCTGCTGGATCCGGTGGGGAGGGGGGGTGATGGATGCAGGAGGAATCTGTCAAGCTCCCTGCCTGCTCCATCCCCTGCCCAGCACTCAGAAAAGCCAGCTACAAGGAAGGCCCTGTTTTCTGTGAACAGTTGTGAGCCTGGTTCAGGGGGTGCCCCATCCCCAACAGTCTTTCAGCTCTCATATCCGGCCAATAGGAGCTGTCTATTTGAAAGACAGACAGCGCACAAAGTATCCCTCCCCTCTCATCTCAGGGTTACAGCTGTTCACAGATGCACATGGCCCCTCATTCAGCTGCAGGGGCATGGAAGGCAGGGAACCTGCTGGGCTGCTGGCAGGGAGTCGCCCAGATAAGTATCTCCTGGCTAGAGCCTACCTTTGACATCCCAGCCCCTCCCTACCTCCAAACCTCTGTCCCCCTCCTACATCCTTACCTCATGAACCCAAACACTCTACCCTCCATCCTGAACATATACCCTCTTCCATACCATGCACCTCAATCTCCCACTCCAGGTTACAACCGCCCTCCTGCTCTAGGTTCCAACCCCAACCCCTGCATCCCCTTCTATCCCAGGTTCACAGTCCCCTCCTTCACCCAAACTCCTTCCCAGATCTCACTCCCCCTTCTGCACCTCAGTCCTCTACTCCTACTTCCTTCTGCACCCAACCTCCATCCTAAACCTCACCCTTTTCCATTTAATATTATGGAAGAGTGCAGTCCTTAACCACTTACAAAATTCTGGAGAGGCCCACTGCTTATATAGAGCCAATTCTAGCCTAAAGGGCAGAATTAGAACAAAGGGGGGAAAAAAGAAAAAAAAAAACAGAGGAGGAAGAGACTTTCTCTCTCCCTATCTTAATCTCAGTCATGCTCCAATAACATGTGTTCTCCTGATTGTCATAGAGGACAAGGGGCTATCTATTCTACTACTGTTTGTATGTATGACTCCCTCTTTCTGACTGCTGTCTGGGTAAGCAAGAAGGTGGGTTATGGTTTGTTACTGGGTCACAAGGCTGCTGCATGCCGACACAATGCTTCTGAGCTCAGACCCTCTGTAATTTGTCCTAAGATGGCTATCATTTTGTCTGTCAAAAGAACATGCCCTGGTATAGCTTCCAAAAGTCTGCTCCTGGGAAGCTGGTAGATGGGCAAAGCCATGTATGCCATTACTCATAAATAAGGATAAGATTTTGTCATTTTGTTTTTAGTAAAAGTCATGGACACACTGTGGACAAAAAAACAAGAATTCATGCAAGTGTGATCCTCCTGGGCAAAGGCTGACAGCCCAAGCCCTAGAGCAGATTTGCATGTCCTTTCATATTAATAGTCTTTCACTTATGTCTTTCAGAGAATTGTTATCGAGTGATGCAATGAAAGACTATAACAGAGCTCGGGTGTACTTAGATGAGAACTACAAGTCACAAGAACATTTTACGGTAAATTTCCTCACTTCACTTATGTTTGACCTTGAAATTGTTTTATCCTAACTGATGTACAAATTGGCTTTGGCATCCATTGTGAGGATGGGGATTACATCTTTTCTAAATGTACTGTGTGTGAGTAGATGCTCAGGTTGATTGTTTATATAGAATGGTATCTGTTAAAACGTTATAATAGTAGAGTTTGTGAAAGATGAGGTTCTTTATTTTTTGTGTTTGTGCTGGTCATTGTTGGATCATTATACCTCCATTCAAGGGAAATGTGGGTCGGTACCATTATGTTGTGTGACTGACACTTGACAACATTACTGTACTTAGTGATGGACATTAGGGAGGAGAGGAGAGTTGTCATTCTGTCATTACGTGTAAATAGCAAAGTGTCTTGGTGATTAGGAGAAACTAGTCCCAAATGCTTACTGAAACTATGTGAAGTACAAGTCTATGTAAATATGATGTGAATTTTAGACGGATGTAACGTATACTTATTGTGTTAGTTTTAGACAAAGGATTAGAGGGAAACTTGTGAGATTGCTTTACATGATCTTTAGTCTTAAGAGACCAAAACAAATAACAAAAACAAAACAAAAACTCCCCCTGATATCTCCTGCCCTTACTACACAGAAGGGGGGGGGGGGGGGGGGGGAAGGAGGAGGAGGAGGAGGAGGAGGAGGAGGGAGAGAGAGAGAGAGAGAGAGATTCACCTTTATTGCAGGTTTCTTTATCTTGTCTCTTATTACAGACCACTAATTGGCTTTTTGTATCAAGGAATCTTGTACATAATTTTAAAGACTAGTATCACAAATCAAAGATATATTTTTAATCGTCACAATTTTAATGGACAGGGACTTTAGTCCTGAGTGTTTAGTCTTTGAATTCATGTACTTTCTGCACTCGATAGATTTTTCAAACAGGATTTTAACTAGTAACTTGTGTCCATTTAGGGTAAAGTTTTATTCTTATCTTCAGTGTGGCTTGGAAGTACTTTCAGGATGTTATTCATCTCCCCAATTCCTCATTAGTTTTGTTTCTGATCGCAAAGGTCTTTAACTTGTGTGGTTATTTTCCATTCCTTGTAAGGCACAGAGTTGGCAACAAATGTAATCCCTAATAATTGTGTGTATGTATAATATACTTGTAGCTATATATATTACATAGACACACACACACACACACACACACACGTGTGTGTGTGTGTGTGTGTGTGTTTAAAGAGTAGAAGTTCAACAAATATGTTGTGAAAATTATATTTTCTTTAGAACTACGAAAGTCCAAGTATTCACAGTTTTACTAATTTTATATCTCTGTTCTAGTATCTTTTTCCCTTCAGTTTTGGCAGTGTAGCCTCTATGGGACTTTCCTTGGTTTGGTTTTTGCAGAGCTAATCCTCATTTTGCTGCCAACGGTTGAATAGCTTAGCTGCCTCAGAGCACTTACTCAAGGCTTTGACAAAACACCTTCGGGTAATATGGACCCTCAAAATACAGCTCTCTCTTTGCTGTTATAAGGAATGTGGCTTTATTTAAAGGATATTGGCTATGTTTCATTATTACTATTTAGAGAGGATAATGCACTAAGAGTGATATTCAAGAAGAGGCAAGAATTCGTTGTTTACCACACCATCACAATTGTCCGTCTCAAACCCAAACAGTCTAAGACCAGTGCTTGTGCCATCTGCAGTTGTGTACTGCAGATGGTTAGGTTTCCCATTTAAATACACTTCCTGCAGTAGGTATCAATATCAGCTTGTGATTTCAGATCAAAATTTAATACATTTTAGAATAATTCCCTACAGTTGCAGGGCCACTATTCAGCTTGACGGAATTTGATAAACACATCTACTGGTTCTGAAGCTAACAAGTGGATATTTATCTCCTGTTTGCTTTCTGCAGCAAGCAACCCCCCAAGAATAAGAAAAGGGTCAGAGGTGAGAGATATCATTTGGCAAAGATCACTTGTCTGTGCAGCTTTTCAAACCCTCTTAGGACCCATAGCTAAAATCTCCTCATGAGACACTATTTAAATCTACATAATAGGTTTTATGCCCCCTCTTGGATTTTTTTATTCTATTTTTTTATATATTTTATTTGTTATAAGTATAATCTATCAGTGTAATAGAGAATCATTTGATCCTTGGTGTCAATTTCATAGTGTTCCTGTGAGGAATCACACAGGAGACAATGCAACACAAAATCATAGTTGGAACTCTAGGAATGATTATTGTGTTTTAAAATTTTGTAAGCTGACTTGCATATTTTACATAGAGAGTCAGGGTAAAAATATTTTAAATAAATAAATAAAGCAACCTCTGATTTCAAAATGAAAAGTTATTTAAAATTTTAAAAATGAATTGAAGATTGATTTCTGGGCCCAAGATAGAACAACAGCTATTACTTTAGGGCTAATGCACGTCAGCCTTGGAAATATGACAGAATTCATATAGGGATGGTCTAGACAGTACTTGGTCCTGCCATGAGGGCAGGGGACTGGACTCGATGACCTCTCAAGGTCCCTTCCAGTCCTAGTATTCTATGATTCTATGATTAAGAGTTCACCACAGTTATGAATTAAATTTGTGGGTGACAACCATTGGTTCCATTTTTATATTTGGCTAAATACCAACTAATAGTCATGACTGTTTAATCAGTTCTGACTTGAAATGCCTCAGATCATGGCAACGTGACTGCAGTGACACCTGTATGTATTTCATTAGGGCAGAATTTGGCCCATAATTTCCTTGAGACAGTACAATAATGGAGAAACATGACATGTTTAGTGTGCACCAGGCTAATTGCTGGTCTACCAAAGTGTAGCTTGTATGGGTGTTTGGTGGCATGTGGAATAATTGATAGTTGATTTAAACAAGGCCCCGTGATTTCTTTTTGCATTTAACCAAGCAACTCCCTCATTTCTGTGACCATTGCTTTCTTTGCTCAGCCTAAGCAAGTTTAGTAGGCATGAGTAAATTAAAAAATTATAATTAAAGGCAACACTCATGACTCTCCCATTCTTTCCTTGCTCCTACATAGATTTTGAATATTTGTGCCATGGTAGCTACAAAATGCCCAGCCATATTTCTAGTATACACAGGAAAGCCCAGTACAAACCATCAGTCTAGCAACACACTCCTTGTTCAAAAGTCAGAGGAATGTGAGCAAATAGTCTGCAGCCACGAATTCAGAATGTAAGCCTCCTGGGTGGCTGCCTAGAGGGCTGGTGTTGCTCATTGATCTGTGTATCTGTATTAACTTTCCTCTGACTTTAAGGTTTTTTTGTTTTTAGTATGTAAATCAGAAAAGGTTTTTTTACTAAAAATGAACAGACCGAAAGCCCTAAATACAGAAACCATACGAGCATGAGGATTTAATATTGTGGGAGAAATTTGGAAAAGTGTCTTTTCTCCCAGTAGAGACAAACCCTTACAAAGTCTTGACAGTTTTGCATATAGAACATGACAAACCTCACAAAGCCTTGAATTTCTGTAAGTGTATTTTGAGAGGGTGTATCTGTCTGTGAGGGTTCTGGCTGTATCCTGGAAGGGGCTTCATATTTGGGATAGAGATTTACTATTGAGTACAGCATATATTTAAAAGGCCAATTTTTAATAGATAATATAGCTTAATTGATGATTATTGGATAACTATGCAATAAATCAAATACCTTTCAAAATACACTAGTTATATAATATATAATTTTTTTTAAAAAGGTAAGACCAGCCCGTTAATGGACCATTTAAAACTCAAATCAACTCTTATCAGGGACAAGATGAATCTTCAATACACAATCAAAAACCCTGTAAATCACAGTATTCACAGTGGAGAGATGTAAATGGTGGTGCTTCCCCCAAGGATCTGTACTGGAACCAGTGCTGTTCATCATATTTATATAAGATCTGGAAAAAGGATAAACAGTGAGATGATAAAGCTTCCAGATAATACAAAATTATTTAAAGTAGATAAATCCAACGCTGCTGTGAAGAGTTGCAAAGAGAGTTTACAAAACTAGGTGACTGTGTGACACAATAGCAGGTGAATGTCAGTGTTATCAATACAAAATAATGCACATTTGGGGAATATAATCCTAATAATACATCCAACATGATGCGAACTAAATTAGCTGCTACCACTCAAGAAAGAACTCATGGAGTCATTATGGATGGCTCTCTGAAAACATCTGCTCAATGAGCAATCAATGGCAAAAAGCTAACAGAAAGCTAGGAACTATTAGGAAATGACAGGTAATTAATTATAGAGAAAAACATAATGTTGCAAAACAAATCTACAGACCACCTACACCTAGAATATTGTATGTAGTGCTGGTAGCCCCATCTCAGAAAAAGAGATATTACTTCTGTGCCAAAAAAAAAGTTAAAAATTCTGCATGCAATATTTTAAAATTCTGCATTTTTTTTCAAAATAACACTGTATAATCATGCCAGTTTCAATTATTTTGGTAATTTATTTCAAAATATCGGTTAGCAAATATGTCTAACAATACAAATACACACACAAATTCCCTCAGGAGTAAAGAGTTAAAGAAATCCCTATGACAACCCAGTTCCTGTTCGCTCCCCCCTTCTCTTCCTGCAGAGCATAGCCAGGTGGCCTATCCCCCCACAGCCTAGCTATGCCCTCCCAACTAATTCATCTAAAACTCCTTGCTCCCAGAGACCAGCCATGGGGCACACCAGCCCAGATAGCTGCACTCCCCTCCCCCCCAGAGTCCAGCTATGGGGTCTGCCTGGTTTATATGCCTGCCTCTGTTCCCTTCAGAGTCCAGGGATCTAGAGGGAAAAACAGCCTGCATGCTGCCCTCTCCTTTTCTCAGCACATGCCAGGAACTGTGGCTTTCAGGAACCCTCTAACTCCCTTTCTGGCCCTACTGCTGCCAGCCCAGCCGTCGCCAGTCCCGTTGCTGCTTGCACAGCCGGGGATCCCTGGACCGGGGATCCCTGGACTGGGGATCCGAAGCCACTGATTGTCCTGCTCCTGCTGACTCAG